GTGTGGCAGGCAGAACTTCATCTCCGTTAGATTCTGTGTTATTTAAAGAAACATTTGTAATAGCCCCAAACTTTTCTAAACTGCCCAGGCTTCTCTCAGGAAGCAAGGAGTAGGCGTGTTGTTTTTGAAGGCCCACACAGTGCACTGCCCCCAGATCAGTCAGCGCTTTGGTGCTGTGTTTGATTGTTTACAGCTGTAATATCTGCCACTCTAAAATGGAAACCTTTGTGGGGGTTCTTGCTCAGCACCTGGTCGTTTCACAGCCAAATTGCTGCCCAAATTGGGGATGAGGGCTACGGTCACTGATACCTGTGTTGATCAGGAAGTGTTCGGGAACTTCACCTGAGAACACGAGATTGGCTGAAGGTAAAAGTCCATTGAGTACTGAAGATCTTAAAGTATTTCACAGGATAAACGAAAACCTGCTGGTGGCGCTAAAATCCCCAACGTCTGTCTGTCTCGATGCAGTTTCCTCTGCTTTTTTGTCCCAAAATAACTTTTGCTTTATGTTGTGGGGAAATTTTCAGTAAATTTTCAAGTCTCTCACTTCCCTTCTGCCCTCAGCACTCTCTGTTTATTTTCATATTTACTGAGCAGTGCTCCGAGTGTACAAGATGTCATCATTAAGAGCATTAGGATGTCTTTTTCTGCCTCTGCACTGCTCCATATCGTATCCCATTTTTTCCTCGCACCTCGTCTTTTTTTCTCCCCCTCGCATCACTCTGACCTTATTTAATCCAGCTCCTTCCATCTTCAACCACGTTTCTTTGAAAGCCGCAGACTGAAGAGTGCAAATTACATCCTGACACATCCAGTTAGTCCCGATCCCACACTCTGTTTTTCGCACCAGCCTCTGTGTTTTTTCTAGAAAAGAAGATGAAGGTGTTGTATAAGCATCTCTGCACTTTTTATTAGAAATAACCCATGGTTCTTTCCTTTGTTCGGAGGGGCGGTAATGTCGTACTCCCGGTAATCGCAGTACAAGTACACACTTAAATGAATGTTTGCCAAGCCCTGCTTACCTTACTGTTGCTACTCCTGTCAAGCTTTTCTCTCTTGCATGGCACACATGAAGGTCACAATGCTAATGGAGTCAACCAGACATGCTAATGATTGTAAGTTATTAACACACCGTTCGATCCATTCCCTCCACTTTTCCTTGCAGGTATAATTGTCAGTGACACACTTTGTTATTCTTCCTTCTTTTATAAGTGAATGTAGGTAATTCTGTGCTATTTTTAAATTCCCTTTGCAAACAAGGGTTAAACAGGTTAGGATGGAATTGAAATACTGACTGCTGGCAGCAGAGGTTTCTCATTTAATGTGTTGCAGAACACGTCTTTTGTTTCTTCAATTTTGTGTCCTCAATCAGCTCTTACTCTTTCCTAACAAGACTTGCATCACATTGCTGTTGATGGTGTGTGTGTGTGTGTGTGTGTGGGTGTGCGCTCTGCTTGTGTAACAGCAACCATAGTCTGTGTTTAACAGACTGACCAGATGTGACAAAGGAAGGAAAGGGAGGCAGAATGTCCCCTAAAGCTGCAACACATGTCTCTAATATCAGAGAATATCAGAATCAGCTTTATTGGCCGTGTATGCGTAGCATACAAGGTATTTGACTCTGGTTTCTCCGTTGCTCTCCACGTAGATACACAGAATATACAAATAAACAAAACAAAAAACTGAGGACAACAAAGTAGAATAGAGGTAAGCATAAAGATTTAACTACTATGTACAAATATAAATATATATACAAAAGTATATATATATATATATATGAACATGAAAAACAACAATGACAATGAAATGGAGGTAATAGTGCAAAATGGAGTTTATAGTGCAGCATGACATGATTAAATGTTCATATGGTGCATACTACACAGAATTCCACGTATATAATGCGGAAATGTGATGCTCCTTACATAGCTCCAAATTGAGCTCACAAATTTTCTAGATACACTATGATTTGCCTTAACTGACTCATAGCCAGGTCTTAATAATACTTACTGTTGATAGTTAAAGTCACACACACACAAACAACCTCAACATGGGTTGTCAGCTCAGACAGCTGAGACACAGATAGATGGGTGAAATTACCTCTGTTTCTACACACTTTTTAGCTCCATGGATTACAATGTCAGTTGGTCCACCACTGTGGTCCATATCTCAACAATGTTGGATGGATTGCAGAGGAATGAATGGATGAAACCTCCTGATTTTGATCAATCCCCATGGGGTTGACACTTGTGGTTCAGAGGAAATATTTAGAAAAGTACTGGATAGATTTCTATGAAATTTGCTCGAAATATTCAAAATTCTTTGTGGATAAATTCTTAAGAATGTATTGGTCCTTTAAATCTGCCTCTAGCACCATCGTGAGGTTGACACTTTTCTTTCTTTATTGATAAACATCTCTATGAAATTTGTCACAAATATTCAAGGCCCCTAATGATCAAGAGTCACAATCAGTTAAATAAGTAGTATTCATTGTTAGCATGCTTATACTCTTAAATAAGATTATAACTGATAAACATTTACACGCATCATCATCATGAGTATGTTCATGCAGATGTGACCATTTATCACAAAATTCCCCAAAATCAGTCTTGAGTATCAAACGCCAGACCTGTAAATTCATAATGGTGCTTATGAACAGGAACAGTCTCCAAAATGGTGGTTCATGAATTAAATATGACTGAACATGACAAGTAATCAATACTATTCTGAATATTTCTGTTTTCATGCAGTTGAGTAAACCTAACTGTACCATCATCACTGAGGATTGGGGGTTTATTGCGGTCCAGGTGGATGACGATGATGATGACGATGATGATGATGATGATGAAATGGTGGTTTCAGTAAGACAATAACATGCATGCCTCTCTGCCATTTATTACATCAGCTTCACAAACAGGTAATGTGCTTTTCCTCCAATGTGCTTGGATGGACACAATGGAACAGGATCCAAACAGGTTTGTGTTAAAACGTTCCCATTGGTGTTCTGTCTGTGTTTCGAAATAGACTTCCGTTAAAACAAGGCAGGATGTGGCTACCGTACCAGTTAGCAAATGCCTGATGCTCGACTTCCTGCAGCCGTCACTTGTTCACTTTGGATCACTGCCAGTTCTTGCAGGTCCTCCAGGCAGGGCAGTTATATGCTCAGCTTGTGTGAGTGTGTTTGCAGGAAACGTCTGTCTTGGGTTTCATATGTGGGGGCAGATGTGAGCCCTGACACTCCACCCAACAGCCTATGAGCGGGCCAGAAACACAACATATTCAACTAAAAGCTGTACAGACCTGCAGATTGGAGTGCTCAAAAACAACTAGTTAAAAAATGTGGGGTGAATTGCTCAACCAGGTCATTTTTGTTTGCATTACATTAAATGTAACCATTGACAACGCCACAATTATAACCACATTATTTAAACATTATTGGATGAAAATAGATATTTCTTACTGTTTGCAGTAAAAAATAAAAATGCACAGGAGTATAAAGGGGAATGCAACACAGTTTTGAGTGCCTGGAGAATATAATTCTTGGAATTATGTTTGAAGAAGTTGATTTAAACTTATTTATCCGAGATCGTATTTGTGTGGATATTTGTACATTTGCTGAATAAACCAGCAAACATTTGTCCGCTTGCTGTTTAAAACAAAATGTTTTTTTTTTGGCTATAAATGAACCATCGACTGAATATACACAGTCATAAAAATCTCATTCCTCTTCCGTCAGGTTATAAATTATGAGCAAAAGATGAACTGACCGTCATACTAATATGTTATGCTATGCTAATGCTTACATGTTGATGCTTAGCAGGTAGGCAACACAGTTTATACATTATCATAGCTCGGCATGTTAGCATGCTTAAGTTGGCTAATTACCCCTCAACACAAAGTACAGCTAAAGCTGATGTGAGTGGCAGCTTTTGCAAAAGCCATTTCCCTCAAACCAGAAGCATCGACCTCGTGGTGACACAAGAGGAAAACTCAGGGACATCATGTTTTGAATGTCTGTAACAAATTTCATGGCAATGCAAACAAATTGAGATATTTCTGTCTGGACCAAAGTGTTGAACCGTCTGACATGGCCTTACCTATGATGCTAACATGGCTAATAAGTATGAAAAATGAGAAACCAAAACATTTTCAGAATAACCGTTACCATGTGTCCTAAATTCCAAAGCTTACATGACAACAATGAAATCTCCAAATGTTCAGCTCAGTGGTGGTGACTTGAGGTCACGTGACCGAGGTGTAGTTCTCTTATAGACTTACGTTTGCTTTTCACTTCTGGCAAATATATTCACGCTTCAAAAATAATACAAGTGGTGTTCATCTGTGCAGACTCCCTTGCTGAATTATAAAATACACAATATATTCGCCAAACTGCTACTTAGATAGCTAACAAAATATTTAAAGCAAAAATGAGCAGCCCCGGTTATGATTTCTGGAAAGAGACATTGCTGCTGAGTTTGTCAAATGTATTTTTGTTTAGCACTTTGAGCACAACAGGCCGAGTGACACAAGGTAGCTACCATTATATTGGAGAGAAGGCAAATATATCTACCGCCAATACCTCCAAAATGTAGCAACTCACACCAAGACATTCTAGGCTGATAAATAGCAGCACAGGTACGAATACAAATATGTATTTTAGATTTTGGGCTGAACTGTCCCTGGGCCCACCTGTGAGCACATTACATTTAATCGACATATACATGCGCTGACAGAAGATCACTGCTCATGGCTTCACAGATATGTTTGCTAAAATTAGCCAAAGTCTTGTCTTGACTTTATTGGTTAGGTGAGTTATCAATGACATCAAATATTTCTTGAGCACTCTCAGTTTTGAGGCAAAGGGGTTTTATTTCTTTAAATCCTCCTGTGTGACTGTAGAAGGCTGTGTGGAAGGCTGCTGTTAGTGCACTACCAGGCCGCGCCACTGGGAGTATAGACGCTCTCCCCCACTTCTGCTTTTTTTTTTTACTGTTCTGACGTCAGCAACCTGCAATTGAACGAATGAACTAACGAACGACCAAGCCCCTGCTGGAGCTACCGGGAGGCAGTAGAGAGTCACAGAGCGAGTCCCCGCCGCCCGCCTCGGAGGAGCCAAACGGAGGAAGAGCCACTGTGAGCCGCCGTGAGAACGTCGTGCTGGAATCAAACGATGCGAGCGCTGCTCACCGCCGCCAAGTAACACACGACCTACTGTCCACGACTGGAGAGGAAGAGAACCGTTACCGTGATTTACCGACAGAAAAAACAGAAGAGAGAGGAAGGACGGACCACTACCGAGGCCACGCTTGAGAAACGGACCAACTGCGGTGGCTGCAACGAGTTGCGTTTGCGCTGTGGATCAAACCGAGAGGATCCTTGATTTTAAATGCGTTAACGGTACCGTACCCCCGGTTTGAGAGCGCGAGAGAGGGAGCTGCCCAGAGAGCCAGAGAAAGCGGGATCGAAGGCAGAGCTCACAAAAGGAGGAAATTAACCAAGACGGAAGAAAAAAAAAATATTTGCAACCAGCTTTGGTTCCACGCACAAGTGTCGTTTTTTTTCTTTTGTTCCGTGGGTCCCGGTAATCGGTTAAGCTATCAAGCTGTGTTCTCTAACCATGGGATGTACTCTGAGCGCAGAGGAGAGGGCGGCTCTGGATCGGAGCAAAGCCATCGAGAAGAACCTGAAGGATGACGGTGTCACCGCGGCCAAAGATGTTAAGCTGCTGCTGCTCGGTAAGAGAGTCCAGCTGCCGCCCGCAGGGCCCTTAGGGCCACGGCAGAGAGGTGTGGTGTGAGGGGGTGGGCGTTTGGTACACGATGATCATAATGGTGGAAATAGATGCAAAAAAAAACATGACGTCCGTCATAAGCTAAAAAAACAATGATATGAGCAAAAACCAAACGAATAGGCATGGAGGCATTTACTTGCTTTATTTCTGCCTTCCAAACACACCCTGCCCTCTCATTACATCACTTTGAAGCCACCTGCTATAATAAGGTTTTATCCATCAAAGATATGCCAGGTGGGGGAAATGTCTGCAGAACCAGTCAATATGTAGAGAAAAGGTGGGAACTACATCAGTGTAGGTGTGCATTTTAAACTGTCATCTATTTGACTGATTAAACTGGAAGATTGATGGGAATTAAAAAAAAAAAAAGGATGTTCGGGAGGAAAGGGTGCAGCCACTTTCTCCATTTTTTTTTTATCTCCACCCAGCTGCTGCTGTCTGTGTTCACTTATGGTTTTAAGAGGCTGATTCTCTCTCTCTCTCTCTCTCTCTCTCTCTCTCTCTCTCTCTCTCTCTTACTCAATCTCCATCTTGCTCTTTTACACACACACACACACACACACACACACACATATACACCCTGTTTACATTGTCTTCTTGTCTCTTATCCCTCAGGGGCTGGAGAGTCAGGGAAAAGCACCATCGTCAAACAGATGAAGTAAGTCTCTAATAACTATAGAGTGGACGTGTGTCCCTCTGTCTCTCGCACACAGACACACACACACACACACACTAGTATAACTTATGCAGCCTGATCTCAAAATGAAAACCCTGATTTTGTGTCATGACTTTGTCCTGGTAAAGCATGTTGTAGACCGCATCGTACCCCTCACCTCAACCCTAACTGGCCCCGTGAAAACACCGGCCCAAGCGTCACTCTTTCAACCGTTGTCAAACACCCGATGTTGCTCTGTGTGGGTGGAAAGGTTGTGAGAAAGGAAGAATAATGAAGGTGCAGCGATTTACTGGACTGCTTGTATGCATGGGGGGGAAGCATATACATATTATATGGAGTATTCTAGCATATGTTTCATGCAGATGGACTCTGTCGTTGTCACTGTCGATACACTCCTCTTCACTCCAGTCCAGTAATATTAGAAGTAGCATCTACTGAGATGGCTTTCTTTCGTTGAATGGTTCAGATTTGAGGTGTGGCAAATTAGAGTTTGAGTTATTCTCACTATTTAGTTGTACTCGCACACTATTTGTGTTAGTATTGTTATTATTCTTTATTTAGTATTATAGGGTAGTTTATGAGACGATATCGTTCACCTGACCTACTTTAACAAAAATAATATTCCCAACTGAGTGACTACTGCTCTCTACAGAACTAACAGTGAGTTTGAATGACCAAGTCTTACTTCTGCTATACTACAGCATTACTGTACAGTATATTCATAGAGATTTAGAGATTAGATCAATTGTTAAAGGGAACAGTGTTTAGGATTTCGTGTGGGAATATAATATTCATAACTATTTTTCTTTCATGTGTCAATCAATTCAAGTCAATCAATTGAAAAAATAATAATTAAAAAAAAAATCACTATTTGCAGCCTTAATATTTTTTTAACACAAAACATGAAAGAGCTACTGTGTTATGGCACCATCAGTTGCCACCTTTATGTAAATACCATGTAGCCCGTTAGCTGTGTCAGTTTGTGTCAAGGCCTGCTGACTAAGTCCCACCACAGTGCTCCTCTTTCACCCCTGTAGGGACTCAATGTGTACCTGTGGTACTTGGCTTTAATGAAGTCACTAAACTCACTGCTGTCTTTTTTTTCTCTCCTATAGTATCATAATGTCCTTATAATAGTGTTTCCTATAGGGACGTGTCAGTGCAGAATTTCTTGCAGCCATATCACACTTCAATAGTACTTTTTGTATTTGCTATATCACTGCAATAATCCTATAATAAATCTACAGGATTTAATGTAGTCCTTTTTTTTTTTTTTTAAGCCCCCTCCGTCATTTGATCCGTAATCCAGTTGTGTGACATATGGATTCTCTTCGATATCCTCTGATATCCTCACCTTCACAGACATCAGAGTGCGATTTAGCTGATAACAGGCTTTGGTTGCAGTCATACGGTGGCATATCACATGAGGACGTGATTCAGTGGATCCAGATGAGCCTGTTTCTCAGCTGTTAATGGTCATCCCAGCAGCACTTTCTGCACACGGACTGACAAACTCTCCCAGTGGGTTCATTCGAATACAAAGTAGGCCAATACCTTTTTGGTGCAAACTGAATTCATTGATTTCATTTCACTGTCGGAAATCACGCATTTATGTAACTTGGAGTGACGTAAATGAATATTAATGTTGCTGCTGTGTTGGTCCATATAGGCGGAAAGCCTATTTTACAAATGTGGCAGATATTATAGGATGCTATTCTTGGCCAGGTCTCCTTTACAAAAGAGCTCTTTGATCTCAACGAGACAAACCTGGTTGAATAAAGGCTTAAAATAAGAGAATAGGAGGTGAACTGTTAGGTTATTGCTGCTTTACACTCATTGTTACACCAAATGCCCATTGTATAGGTGCATAACATGAATACTATTCAATTACCGTACATTTACCGTATTTATTGACGGAAAGAGAGCCCGTGTCTTTTCAGATGGTTCATACCACGCTATCTACTTTCTATCATTCCAGCCGACAAGCTTTTGTTATGTTTGCTTTTGCAGGAGTTGATGAATTTGCATCTAGCAGACGAACATTGTCTGTTAAGCCTGTATGAAAAAGACATTCTCTTTGTTGTTAAATGCTTTGCATGCTTCTCAGTGGCCACCTTCACCTCCCAGATAAAAAGCAATGTGATACAATGTCACCCCGAGGAGGTGATTGATGAGGTGCACTGACCATGAATTATTTGTTGTGGCATTGTCGGAAGCTTTTCACCAGGCAGATATTTTCTAACTGCTAACTTGATGCAGAAGAGCCACTTTTCTGTCTTCTAAATTTCTTCCGAACTGGAATAACTGCTTGAGCGTTGGCAGTAGAATCCAAATTGTGTACGCTTGGGAGTAACTAACCCTCACCTGCCCGGCCTAAGCATCGGGGAATTCTGTATGTTGAAGGTGTTTCTAAACAAAAATGTGCTGTACAAGAAGCAAAGTCCTTTTCAGGGGCGTAGGTTGTGTGCTTAATGTCGGTAAGTGTGGTAAGAGAGCGAGAGCGAGCCCGTTAAGTTAACCGTAGCATTGTAGCCGTGAGCATAGCAGCGCCACGTGTGTACGGTTTAGGCTATTATGCTAACTCCTCGAGACCCAAGGCAAGTTTCCGTGTCTTGCTTGCTACCTGCCTATCAAAGTGAAGGGGGCTAAGCTACTAAATAACTTTGGCTCAGGCTTGCTTAAGGTGGACAGGTGCCCCC